AAAAAGAAAAACCATGAGGTTAAATTTTAAATTATTAAAAAGTGTAATGCAAGTATAGCAGAAATTTATTAAGCTAACTTGCCTTTTTGATAGTTCCAAGATAAAACAAGCCATCTGACCATCTAGCTAAGACATCTTGACCCTCTTCAAATTTACATGCTGGTTTTTTGGTTTTATGTCCATCCTGTAAAGACAGCTTGTTCAAGGATGCTGAGGTCTTTTGGTTTCGACGTAAAGGAGACCGCTTGTGGACCAGTGAATTACCTGCTCCTGTAGAGTCTCTGTTCAGGAAATAAAAGACCAAATAGATAAGACTTTATACCAGATACTTATATGTTAACCAAATTTTTGGTATAAAAACTTTAGTTTGTGAGAGAAACAACAACTCAAATGACAAATACTTTCTAAGTAGTTGTTAAACAAAAGAGCAATAACTCATGATATTCGCTCATTGCCTACCCCAAGGCAGGATTCAGAAGTCATTTCTGTATTAGGGTAACTGACGCATAGATAACAGCTGAGAACAACTAAGTATGGTAGCACAGCCTTAGCATCTGAGAAGCTGAGCACAAGGAAAAGTTCCAGGCCAGCATAGGCTTCTTCGAAGTTCCAGGCCAACTTGAGCTACATATCTGGGACCCTAGTCTTTAAACAGTTTTGAAGATTTAAGCCTTAACTTCTTAGCTTAGACCACAGCTAATTAAGATACACGACTTCTGGGGTGGATGACTATGTTCACATTCACTGCAAGGGCAGTAACAAACCCTCTATAGAGAATCACTAAGCTAAGAGGGACGAATAAGTCAATCCAAATATGTACCCTTAATTTTTTTTTAAAGTTGACAACTGAACAGGTGCCAAGCTCAGCAGATAAAGGCACAGACCAACAAGCCTGACAACCTGAATTTGATCCCCAGTATTCATAAGAAAGAAAAATAGACTCCTGCAAGTTGTTCCCTATCTGCACATGAATACAAAGGCATGTGTACACATAAATATATACACAAAATGAATGTAATTAAAATTAAAAACTTCAGATTTCACAAAATTACAATCAAGTGAAAACTGTAAGATTTTACTTTTTAAGCAATGGTCCCACCGGGCGGTGGTGGTGCACGCCTTTAATCCCAGCACTTGGGAGGCAGAGACAGGCTGATTTCTGAGTTCAAGGCCAGCCTGGTATACAGAGTGAGTTCCAGGATACAGCCAGGGCTACACAGAGAAACCCTGTCTCGAAAAAACAAAACAACAACAACAAAAAAAAAAAACAATGGTCCCAAACGATAAACTATAAAATGATTATAACTTACATATTAAAAACTGAACAACATAGCATGCCATCAATTTATTTTTTTTAAAGTTTATGCATATTGGTATTTGGCTGAATACATGTCTGAATGCATGTGCATGGCTGGTGTCACAAGAGACTAGGAAAGGATACAGGATCTCTGAGCCACTCTACGGGTGCTAGGACCAAACCAGAGTCCTCTAGAAGAGCTGCCAGTGCTCTTAACTGCTGAGTCATGTCTCTAGCCCCAACATCAATTTTCTTAAATGACAAAGCAGTGTTTGGTTTCATTGTTCCAATTTTAGTTATTTTACTGGTTAACATTCAAGGATATGTAAAACTATACAGACTATAAGAGATCATAAAAGTTTAGTAAAAAGAGAAAGTGAAAATGGGGATTAAAGTCTCCGTAGCTAAGCACAAAGGAAACCTGTTTACAATGTCTAAAAATAACACAAATTCTGGGAAACATGCCCATGCTACAACATGGAACCTTGAAGACATTACCCTAAGCAAAACAATCCAGATAAAACAGACTACTGTTTAATTCTGGTTATCTGAGATGCAGTTAAATTCATAGACAAAAAGTAGAATGGAAGTATCTGGGGGGAGAAGGAAAGATTAAATGTTTATGGGAACAGAATTTTGGTATAAAAGAAATACATTTTAAAGTTTTCCTAAAAAGAATTAAGAATTCAGAATTACGAATATCTTTCCCCTAAATTGATGAAAAATATTAATCTATGTATCTAACAAACTCAAACCCTACGAGTACAGTAACTGTAAACAGAATCACTGAAAACCAGAAAGATAATCTTCAAACCAACAAGACAGCTGGGGATGTAACTCAATTGGTAGAATGCTTGCCTAGCGTGCACAAGGCCCTTGGTTCCATCCCTAACGTAAGACAAAAATAAAAAAAATAAAAAACAACCAGGTACACACCTATAATCCCAGTACTGGGGAAGTGATAGGAAGATCAGAACTTCAGGGTCATCCTCAACTAAACATATTTGAAAAGTTTGAGACCAGCCTGGGATATGTCTAACTGTATAAATATGCAAACGCTCTTAAGTCCTGTGATTACTTCAGGGATCTTGAATCCCTATGTAAGTAACTGTCTTAGTTACTTACTGCACTGGGTGAAGCCTGAGCATAGTAAGCCTTAAACCCACCTACACAGTAACACACACACTTCCTCAAACAAGGCCGTACCACCTAATAGTGCCACTCAGTATGACCAAACATTCAAACACATGAATCTATGGGGCTAAACCTATTCAAACCACTACATTCCACTCCCTGGCCCCGATAGGCTTGTAGCCATAACACAGTGCAAAACACATTTAGTCCAACTTCAAAAATCCCATAGTCTATTGTAGTGACTACAATGTTTTAAAGTCCAAAGTTCAAAGTCTCTTCTGAGATTCATGCAATCTCTTTACTCTAATCCCCTATAAAATCAAAAAGCAGAGAACATATTCCAGTATCAAAGGATATACATTACCATTCCAAAATTGCCAC